GTGGTTCAAACAAGAGTCAATGTATGGACTGTCTGCCAAAACAAGTGGCCGTTGTAGAGAGGTGGGCGACTTGTGGAGAGGTGGCCGTCAGTGGAGGTTCGAGTGTCACCACAACTGTTGATGGGTCTGAGACACGTTGCTCAGTCCAAGTCCTCTTGCTCAATATGTTATGATTAACGCTGTATTCTCTGCACTGACGCTTTCAAATTTCTGACCTGACGTTTTCTCTCACCCTAAAGTGCACTTTCCGAGTTGCAGTTCGCCGAAGTTGAGATTTAGTTGTCTGGTAAGTGAACTACACCAACCACATCGACTCTTTGACGTGAATCGTAATGCACCTTAAGATCCAAATAAAGAACTCAAAATTAGGCAGGAGGAGGCTGTATTTGTAAATTGGTTTGTAGGTTAAAATCACAAATATCGATTTTGCTGTCTACTAAATAACAGTGGCAGCCAACACAAGACCATTCAGAATTTAATTGTTGCAGAAAATTCCAGCAAGTGGTCCTAGCTTCCCCTTGATTTGTCATAGACGTGGAGTGTATTAGAGCCTGGTCTCTTGGTGGTGGTAAAGGAGCTGGTGGTATTATCACCATACTTTTGAAGTTGTAAGACCTCACCTTGCAAGCAACGCACATACTCCGCACCACCTTGGTTGCCTGACTGATTTCAAAGAGGGCATTTTCATTCAGATGTATTCGGTAGTCCGGTCACTGATTACCTAAGTCCTGCTATCAAACGGGAATACATCATACCTGCATTGGCTCGAGTCAAAACTTGGGGAGAAGGCCAAATTACACTGCAGGTGTATTACAGAAACACATCGAGCTCCACATTGGAGAAATAACAATGGTCACGTAGTGTCGGAACATAACATTTTTGGAACCCAAGGGTTACTATGACAACAGTGACGACATAGCGTTGACGTCACAAGCAAGTCAGACCAATCCATCTAGAATAGTTTCTTTTCAAAGTTATGGTATGGAAATCTGTGAGTAGAACGTATTCACGTGACATCAAAGTCACCTGACATTACGTTAGTGCACCCAAATAACAAGAAATAATTGTGCAAGAAAAGAGATCATTTCCCAAAGAAATTAAATTTGTTACTTTGTGTACGGTAGCATGACTACAACGACGTTATATATGCGCACCGGCAGTATAACCTGGAAACATTAATATAAGTTTCTTTAACTGAAACATCATAAATTGTAAAAAGTAGGTAAGCGAGAACCAAAGGAAGATTCCAGGATTATGATGATTTAAACATTGGTGTTTCTACGAAATATCGACGTGTTATTTTCCAGTAATTAATTTTGTTACTGTTTAAAGCTCTATACGGGCTCTTTCAAGCTAAGCAGTCATATGGGACCAAGGAAAAACCCTTGCTGACGACAATTAGATGCAGTGGGACAAGAAAATCGAGAAATTAATAAATTTTCTTTCTTTTCAAGGTCCCACCGCATTGTTTAATTTCCAGTTTGGCTTTTTGTAGCATGCGTCTGTTCAATAAGCCGCAAAGTGCCAATTGCACAGGCGGTATAACATCAGTCCCACATGGTATTTGTGTTTCCTGCGCATGTGCCCAATACGACTATGATCAATCGAATGGCACTGCCAACGATCTTTCACATTATGTGAAAAAAAATAATAATCACCTAAAAAATGTGACTAAGCTAAGCCTTAGTGTAAATAATGTTATATTATAAAAGACACTGTTAGTCCTACCGAGTGACTTTTTGCACCTAATATGACTCCAAGTTGGTCTTTCAGTCGAAAAGATACATTTACATTTTGTAAAATTTGTACCATTTGTGACCCATTTCTCTTCAACGAAGTGAAAAATATTTTGCTACTGTAATATATTGAGGAATTCATAATTATTTAACTAGAGAACAAATTCATAAAGGATATGTCCGATTGTATAGATCATAAAATCCACTGAAAAGAGGAGACTCAAGTGTCAAATAATTTCACTTTATTTTCTGTATTTGCTCGAAAAGGCGACGCCCTCGTATAAATTTCTCGACGAATTACTCTCATTGAGGGGCGAGAAACATCTTCATCTTGCTTTTCTCTAATTGATGTAGTTTGTTCTTGAGGATCATTGATGCAATTTTTCTTCTTTTTCCAATAAAAAAAGAATTGCCGAAAGGTTATACTTTAAGGGCAATTTTGTAATATCAAGTTTCAACGTGAGGCTCATAATTAAAATCAGTTTTTCTCGATTGACTTGAAAAGTCAGTCGTTTTAATGCAGAAATAACTGAATAAAGATTCTCAAGAAGGGGCACGAGGTGTGATGTAAGGATAGTTTCCGTCCACGAAACACAGCGATGACAGATTTAGGGGAGTACTTCTTGCGAAGCTTTTTCGAGTAAATACAGCACATCAAATTCTACAGACACAATTGGACGACCCTTCTTTAAATGAAAAATTTGAGAACTTCCAGCTGGACTTTGGAAGGACAAAGTAGAGAATTGAAAATAGTCATCTATTTATATCACTTAGCTTCTATGTTTTATACCTCATGTATCGTAGAGCGTGGAATAGACTGTCAATTTATGGCCGGCATTTGCTCAGTTCAACAGTTCTTGTACTCTCAAGGAATTAGTCCTTTTAACTACAAAAACAACACTGTCTCAGGATTTATCCCTTTCCCTTGTTCCAAGTTGCTCTTACATTGCACTCATGGTGTTAAAGACAAGAATGCACCATGCCCTCATAGCTCAGTGGGTTTTCTTTGCTATCGCCGCCATATTGGAAAACAAAAACTCCTCTGGAAAAAGTCTGAGGGGTAGCACTTCTGTTTACATTCTTTCCAAGATGCACTGCATGCACTGTTTTTTACGCTTTATTGGCAACTGGAAGGAGGAAAAAGTAATGGTTTCAAAGGCTTCGTCCCCAGAATAGAAGGGTTAATGTGTGAGAACTGCAATTTTAACAGAACAGTCTAATCTAAATAGTTATGACAGGTTAGTTTTTGAAGACCTTCTTTTTTGATAGATTACAAATGTCTTTATCGCCTCGATGATACTTTTAATGTTAGATTGTAACAGAAAATGAATGAAACAGAAATGTATGGAAACAGAAATGAATGAAACAGTCTCGTTACTCTGAGAAAGACTGATGAAATTACAGCAAATTTAGTTTAGTGATCAGTGGTCGATATGATGTGTTTTGTACAAATCTGCATATTTCCCTATCCCAGCCGCTCATCTCTTATTTTACTCCCCAAAGCGAGCTGTACCGCTTAATAAACATGACTTTGCCTTGTGTATTCCCTATTTAGTTCGAGGCTTACTGTTAATGTCACTAACTGCGCATGCCCCATGTACACGTTATTACCTTGCGCATGCCCTATGCGTAGGTAACTACGTTGTGCGCGCAGTGTACGCGTTACTGCTAAGCTTGTTCTGTGTTAGTTTACCTTACTTTACTCGGTTATCGCAAAATATCGTGAATTGTCAGTGCCTCGCAGATCATCAATTATTGATCTGTTCGCCACTGACAAATCACGATATTTTGCTCAAACCAGTTGTCCAATAATTGTTAATTACTAATCCCTGAATCTCAATGCGTTTTCTTTTGTTTCATGTATTTTCCGCAGCCTCAGAGCCAAGTATGAATTTAAATTATATAAAAAAGGCGCATTGAGTTGCGACATTCAGGGAAGTATTTAAATTCGTTCCTTTAACCACCCGCTGACCAAAGAGGCTTGTTTATGAGTTGGAAATAACCTCCAATTAATTTCAGGGTGATTTCGAAATAATGTGTTTTGCTACGGCTTCTTTCAAGTCTAAGGAGTCGTTTTGTTAGACAAAAAGGCCGAGAGATTACCGTTATTGTATAATTTAGACAACAGCTTGGAGACAAAAACAAGAGTTTAAGATCGAGATAATCAATTTCTTAATCGAGAAAATGAAAAAATGTTTTGAAAATGTTATCAATGGATTGCTTTTGGCCTGTGCCTAAAAAATGATTTAAGAAAAAAATCGTCAAGAACTGATTTGCATTAACTGTGTCTGACCAAGGATTGGAGACAATCGAACAGGGCCGGAGTTCCGTGGTCTTGACTCACTGTAATATCTAATTTTAAAAAAAATGAATCAAAGCGGAATTTTTTTCGTAATCTTGGAGTTTATCGCAGAAACGTAGTTATCTTGTCATGTGCTTTCACTGATTTAGTACAAAACAGAAATTTACTTTGCAACCACGGTTGGCAATGTAGCGTGGTCAGGAGCTGATAACACACCATGATCACAGACCACGGTCACGTGACCATCGCCGACCATGTTCAAACATGGTCGGCAATGAAAAACCCTGGTACCATGGTCCACCGCTTGCTGGGGTAAGTGGCACACCTTTTGATTGATTGGTAACATCGGTAAACGGTACATAACAGAGTCGATCTCTGGAAGTCCAGAAAAAGGTGAGACTTGAATGCGCAATCTTGTTGGGAGTATTGAAATAAATACCTGGGCCGAGTTGTTTAAAGCTGTGTGTTAAGATAACCCAGGGTTAGTGCGAGATTTGAATTCAGATTTTGAAAGCTTAAAAAGCATTTTCAAATTCTTTTTGTCTACAAATTGATGATTGGAAGCTCTAAAAATAGCAGGGAAAATTATCCGATAGAATCGGCTTTTGAACACAAAAAGAGAAACCCGGATTAAAATTTAACCTCTGGTTAGCACTTATCGGCCTTCGAACAACTGGGCCCTGAACGTTATTTTTACCGGCTTTAAGGAGCATTCTCGCTTTGATAAAAAGCTAAAAGAAATGCTTAATGTTATTTCATTCATGAATAATGCCAATCGAGAAATAAAATATTACTAACGCGTAGTCATTGGCGATAATCTAGTTCCCCAGTTGCAGAAGCTTTAGCCTCATGTACGAGTCTTGCTGTGATTCCTGTGTACTTTGTTTTCTTTTTAGAGTACGGTGATATTTTAATGAAAAATGACTTCGTCGGTATATTTATATTTATGTTGTCTGGTTTGTACATGACAAGGAAAAATAAGGTGACTGTTGCTTCGGTCATTTTTTATCAGTTAGACCCGGTTGTGCTTATTAAAAATGTGACCAGACGCAGATTGTCGTTTGAGCAGACAAAACTCACAAACTATAATTACGAATCTGACTGATTCGCTCGAAACACACGAAAGCGTTCATTTTAATATTAATGAGACACGGGTGGTCTTTTAAACGAGCTGAGATTAAAACTGTCAGGCATGCAAACGTGAGAATTTAATATTCCTTCATGACAAGAACAACCTTGAGTGCCGTTGCTGAACATCTCCTTTATAAATTGGAAAGTTTATTTTTTTGTTGTTTTTGTTCTTTTGTTTTTAAAAAGTCTAAACGTTTAAATCTTGTTCGGGAAAAGCATACTAATAATAATAATAATACAGTCGAATCCCGATAACTCGAACCTTCAAGGGAAATAGAAAACAGTTCGAGTTATGGAGGGTAAAATTATGTAGAAAACGATCTGAAGGGAAATGAAAATTGCTTCGAGTTAGCGGGAGGTTCGAGTTATAGAGGGTTCGAGTTACCGGGAGTCGACTGTAATAATGAAACATCAGTTTTTAAGTCATAATCGTGCTATCAACGTGAACTTGAAGTCTGTTCGTTAATGAGAATCACATTGTCACAAAATTCCAGTTTCTCGTAACAGGAGACGAATCTATGGCCTTCCGGTTAATTGTCAGATCAGATGCCCTAACACTGAGTTACGGGAGGCTCTTCAAAGCCGAAGGGTCGCTAGCCTCCATCAGGTTCAAATGAGCCCAGTTTAATCGCCTTAATAGTTGCCAGAAGTCTCCTATCGCTCAGTAGTATATTGTAGAGTGCTTGGACTGGTAAACAAAGGGTCATAGCCGAGGTTCCACTCTTGTTTGAAGAACTCGGATGTTTTTCCGCTCCGTCCATGCCAGTGAATGAAAAACATTCTATTCACAGTCATAACCATGATTGTAATCCTGAGACTACAAAACTATTATTTAATATTATTGTTGTTATTATTAACTTTAATGAGAAAAGATTAATCTTCTGATAACAAAGACTTTTGGCATTAATTATTGCGAGGTTCTTGTCTTGAACTATTTCATTCTTCTTATTCCTCTTGGCACCCAAACCGCAATGTCGAAAACCTTGTTCCTGCATATGAACACTTAAACAAATTGAAATTAATTTTCGTCCGCATCTAATCTTGCTCCGTTTATTGCACAAACGCTAAAATTGTCATAAAATACAGTATGTATACAAAATGAGCAGACAAGATGTTTGTCGACAGGACATTTCCTTCAAATACTCGAAAACTCGCTCGAAAATGTTGTCACAATAAAATACTGAAGGCCATATTTGTAAATGTTCGTAAGTGAATAACCTCCTTCATTTTATCGTTGAGATTCTCTTGAAATTCTAGTGCTTGGTCGAGCACCTTGACATAGATACGGAAAACTAATCAAGACTAGAATATTGACAATTTCGAACGTTTTAGTCGATTGACTGAAGCCTCTTTGTGATTGGCTAATGTCACAATTCATTGTATTTAAATATTGATTTTCAATGTAAAACAATCTTTGCGGTATTTATAAATTAACCATAGTACTTGTACGGTTCCTGTTCGATAGACTTGCGTATCGCAGCATCGAGATGTAATATTAAGGTGCTATTTGATGAAGATGAGATTTAGAGCAACCTACGTGACGACATTACAAGTACAGCGAGGCACAAAATCAACGAAGTTTTTATGGAAATTTCGTGGAACTTAGCCGTAACAGGTGGCTAGCGCTTTAAGCGAAAGTACTGGTGAATGTAACCTATGTATTTTGAACCAGATTTTGAAGCACAAGTTCCTCTTCAAATAATTAGATTTTAAATCCATGAAAATGCTTTCGTTCAGCTGAATCGCTTATACGAAGCTACAACGTCATGTTACTCGAACCTGGAACGATAGCTCGAGCGAAATCCGAGTCGAACTTCGAAGATTCGTTGCCAGCGCGCGGCGTAGCAAAGGACCGTGTCATAATTAATGTAGGCGGTTACCGCCACGAAACGTATTTAAGCACTCTTAGAGTTGTTCCAGACTCAAGGCTCGCTTGGATAGCTGAAAATGCCTCAAAACAAGCCGATTACGATCCAGAAAATAACGAATATTTTTTCGACCGTCACCCTGGGGTCTTTGCGAATATTATCAACTACTACAGAACCGGGAAACTACACTGTCCGAGCGAAGTTTGCGGGCCGTTATTTGAGGAAGAGCTCGCATTTTGGGGAATCGACGAGCTTCAAATGGAGCCTTGTTGCTGGAGTAATTACACGCAACATAGAGAAGCCCAAGCAACACTTAAAGCATTTGAAGGACTGCAGAAAAGCATGGAGGAATCTGAAAACGAAAGCAGTGCGTTTCGGGTTCGACCTAAAGTTTCAAGGAGAAGTAAATTGAAAAAAGAGATTTGGGCGATGCTGGAAAAGCCGTACTCATCTAAGTACGCTCAGGTAACCCTAATTAAATACGCCAGTGCCGAATACAAATAGAAAAATAAATATATCGATAAGGTTTTTTAAAAGCAATTTTGCCCAGCAAGAATCTTGTAAAAGATATCAGGCGCTTTCTTTTTTTGTTGTTTTGTTTTTTTCTCTTTAAACTTCTTAAGGGGATTCAAAGACGCATTTAATTTGCATGCAATCGATCGAACTACCAATGCTTTTTTAAATGGTTTACGGAAACGATATCAGCAGTTTCCAGTTGAGTTTTACAACCGTTTGGGTTTGAGGGTGCATATTCTGGGTAAATTGCTCCAACAAGTTAAGCCAGCGACTGTGGGGATATTATTATCGCTCAAAGCATTCGCTGACAAATGTTGTAATTTTTTTTCTCCGTATGCAAATCAGGAAAAGATAGTTGGCATTTTGACTATTCGAGTGGGTATGTTATTTTCAACATGAACTTAAAAGCGCTGTTGAAATAACAGCAAACGTTTGTTTGGTTGGTATTATTGCTTTGTCGGAGGCCCCATCAATCAGCAGAGACATGCGGCATACATGTCTTCGTTTTGTTGAAACCAGAATCTATCGCGAAATATGATTACATGTATTTCAAATTAATTAACATGGTTGTCTCTAGTGTAGATTTATTATATATCTCTAGCATCGCCTTTCGACAGTTTACTTTCATAAGGCAAATAGTTTAAAACATAATTTTGTTGCTGTTAAAAAGGCTGACAAGAGATAAAACCGCTACGGTCCCTAGCCTGGCAACGGAGTACTGTGTTAACAATTTTGGTATATTTCGGGGACCTTATCACATATAAGAAAAAAGAAAATATTTTATATTTAATATTCAGCATCTCTGATTCAAATTTCCTTTTTTTTCGCTAAAAGTACAACGCGTAAAAAAAGTCGAAACAGAATCACATTTCTAATCATAACATCCCTTGATTTCAAACTGACTGGCACTCAAATTCGAAAACCGTCTCTGAAAACTTCGACAAGTTCTAAATCTTTCGATCTAGCAGTATTTTCATGAAAACATTCTTGGACTTAGAATTGTAGACTAGTAATTTTAGACTGCTCTTCTATTATTGTTTGGGTTTTTATAAACAGTCATGGTTACATTGCTGCCTATCTTACTCACGTTTCTGAGCCATATATTTGCATATTATTCATACACACAGTAAGTCTGACCATTGACTTGCAAATGTCTCATTATTAGTCTGGTACAAATTTTTTTATTTAAAAAGAAAGAAAGAAAAATTGAGCCACAGAATCGTGAAAACGTCCTGTGCTATGGCTTTCAGTTATTAGATATCACTCCGTTTTATCATTGTCTGTGTAAGGTCTCTGCAAAAATACGACATTTATTTCGATTTGTTTGATTCTTTAAGTAAATTGTTTGATTTCAAACAACTATTCATATGCAGCGTAAATATTACACTGCCATTCACAGACATGAGTTTTGTATTCGTTTCCATCGTCTTTTGCTTAAATTAAAACTTAACAGATCCAGGTAATTGTACAGTACTAGTTTTATCTCGCAAATATTGTATAGTCAATAATTTGTGAAAAATTTTCTGCGCATTTTGAAACTATTACTTCCTTGCAAAATAGGGCTACTGTTTTCAAATGTGCCAAAAATGTCCATTCAGTCACGTAAAAAAACTGTAGTTTTCACTAGCTGCTCATACTATCGATCAATACTACGAGAAGAAATTAAGATGGATCCGGAGATACACTTCTTTATTGCACAAAATCGACTAGACTCGGTCAGGGCAAAATATTTGTTTCAAAAAGTGCTCACCATCTCAATTTCAAACCCATTTTTATAAGATTTTATAGATTTTAGCAAACTCTCAGTACAAACAATGATCGGGTGTAGTCTTCTTCGATTTTCATGCAATAACGTCCTAGGTGAACTAAGAAATACTCGTTCCTTGATGCATATATATCACTTACTTCACCTATTTCCCTTTTCTCGTCAAGTGTAAACTTTTAATCAACGTGTAATAATCTAAATAATATCTTTGGTGAATGATAGAAAACGAAGTTGTTTTTGAGATCGTTAGTAGACAGTTATGACTCGATCGCGAGAATACAAAGTTTGGGCTAAGTCTATTTTCCATTATGAGTAAGCACTGACGTGTTTCCCATTCGGGTGTTTCCAACGCGTGAATATAATATGACATCACGCGCGCTCTCTTTAATCTAAATTCTCTCCTTTTATCGCCGCTTTTAAGTTCAAGTAAAGTTTGGCAACTTTTCAGTAGAAACAAATCGCAGGCCTAGTTAAAAGCATCCATTGATTGAAATCATAACTTCACCCTTTTCAGAGCGCACTGGTTAAAATATTTTGTAAGTGTGCCAGTGTGCGTTTCTTTAAGCAACATTTCTGTAAAAAAACTGAAGGGCAATTCCGGATTGCTCTAAGCCTCTGTTTCATAATGAGGTAATTAAGCCAGTTTTGCAAAGTTTTTTTTAGTGAAAATGTTGTTTTCAAGCGCAAATATCAGGTGCAACTTTTGTTTTCACACGGACGATCTCAGTGCAAATGAATCAAAACTCACTACAGTGAGCGTAGTCACAAGTTAGCAGAGAGGAAAAATGAGGTTCCTTCAGTAAGCATTTTTTTTGCTACATTGTAACGTAGTCTGTTTTAGTGAAGAGAGTGGTAGATAAGACCCTTTCCGGTACCAGCAGAACTTTCAGCGAAGTTTACCTGTTACAAAATTCTTGCTTTCCCAACCCTTTAAGCCCCAGTGTACACAAACCAATTCTCCAGACTAATCTCCAAACATTTCTTTCAAGAATTTCCTGTTTGGTAATCGTATTATTATTAATTCCATAACCTTTCCTCTTGATTATGTATTAATATAGTTACAAGAAACAAGAAAATTAATGTTGGTCACTCCTTGGACTAAAAAAAATGTATTTGAAAGAGGTTCTTCTTTTAGCAATGTCTTTCATTTCTATAATAGTTACTGAACGTAAAACCGTCTCAGCTGAAAAAAATAGCGAAACTTTCGCGCGAGCTTGTCTCTAGCGACGGATTTGTTTTGAACCTATTTCGTATACACCTCGAAAGAATTATGAGACATAAACAAATGTTTTATTGATATAAGCCACGAAAGTCATTAACCACAGCTGAGCTAACCATTCAAATCTGTAGGTGCTATTGACGAGGCGCAAGACTTTATCGGCGTGCTTCCTTCGTGCATTATTAATGAGAGCCAGCTGAGAAGCGATAGGTTGACGAGAAAATCTAGCCCTAATGACTTTATTGAGCACGAATTTAGAAAGAGAGCTTCGTAGTATTACATTGTAATCTAGCTAACGTCGACTTCTTATAGTAACCTATTTGCAATAATGAAGTACATTATTTGTTCAACACAAAGTGAAATAAATTCCTGTATATTACATTTGTGTAAAGCCCACAGACTGACGCACGCTTCTGTTTTTCTGGAATGTTAATCCGAGGATACGTCCTCGGTCAGAATTGTGCCAGCGTGTCATTGTTGACAAATTTTGGATTTAAAAGTCAGTGTCATGGAATATGATGCAGAAAAAATACAACAACGAACTGTTTTGAAAATGAAGTGTAAATATTAAGGTGAATTTTTTGAAATGTCTTTCATTGAGTTTGATAAAAATACCTCATTCTTGTTTGAAAATCAAAGTTACCCCATTTACAACATGTGTTAAGTAATACAATCCTGCTCATATTTACGATTTTCTGGAATTATGATTATCTTAATAGTAAGTCACAGTGATGATATCATTAATGATGGTAATAACGATGAAAATGATGATAATGACGACGAAGATGATGTCAATGTTTCATCAGCATTAAGTTTTCCGTCTAAAGACTCTTTCCATTCTAACTCTCCGAGTTTGTTAGGATGGTTCTTTAGGCAGCTAGCATAACGTTGATAGCGAAGCTCCACGCGAGCGGAGCCCCATAGCTAAGAAAATTTGGTTACCCTTTTGTTAGTCACGTGACCGTACGTCAACCCATCCGCACCACAGGGAAACCGATGTGAAATGTTATACTTTCTAGCTTGTGTGGGAGTATGTAATTTGATATTGCACTTCCATGTTGTGGTCAATCGACAGCTGTCAAAACAGGGTATCCACTGACCAGTATCACATGACCGTATCGCGGGCTCAGGTGTCAACCCATCGAGGTTACTTATTCTTTAAGTTTACCGCTGACAAGTTTCTGATCGCAGGCTCAACTCTAATTGGATTTCTTTATTGCAAAGTTTTTTTCTTAAAGGGAGCTTTGCCTTTTTCCTCCGCTAAATCTTTATATTAAATTATATATTTTTTTGCCTTTTAGATATTTGCTTTCATATCCTTGATAGTTATCGTCCTTTCAGTGGCCACATTTTGCCTGGAATCTATTCCATTCCTTGGAAAAGAATATAGAAAATTATTTAAAGTCATGGAATACTTCTACCTTGTCTGGTTTACAGCAGATTTCGTGGCGAGGCTTTGCTCTTGCCCTTCTGTGCCGGAATTTTTTAAAACATTCATGACCTGGGTTGATATAACGTCTGTTATTCCTCTTTACATCAATTTGGCTGCCAGTGCCGACTTAACCTTTCTCTTCGTTCTGCGGTTAATCAGGATTTTCCGGTTATTCCGGTTTTTCCGGACCATGAGTGGGATGCAAGTAATTGGACACACCTTAAGAGCAAGTGCTCGAGAACTCTTTTTACTTGTTCTGATACTCTTGATTCCCATGGTTATTTTTTCGACGCTTGTCTTTTATGCCGAAAAGGTAAGAAGTGAAGAGCCACCTAGTGGAAATGCAGAATAAAGCCATTATTATTATTATATTATTATTAGATAGTGTTTTGATGAATTGATTAGATTTTTTGTTACAGCAGGTTGATTGTAAATAGGATTTTAATTGATATTTTGTGATAAAGATTTTATTATTATTATTATTATTATTATTATTATTATTAAGTACTTTAAATAATTAAGAGTTGGACACTATCGGTAGCAGTAAGCCTTGGGGGGTGTACACAATAGACGAAGCAATCACGTGTCAAACCTAACTTGATGTAACAAAAATAGTTATTTACCAAATCGATAAAGTCATTTTACCTTAAGTAAAAAGATTGAGGATTTGACCTCTCGAGTTCTGGCGTTTCTCTCTGTCGATCGAAGTCCCAGATAGAATCCATCCCACACACTCACGCCCACTGGCACAGCACAATAAGGAGTTTATGGGAAATCAATAGATTCGGCGCTTAAAAAGATAGCCTTATGAATCAACCGCCGTTCCAGTGTCAGAAAGGGACAGCTTATTTCAGAATTTAAGGTCGGTGCCCTATGAAGCTAAAACTGCCGAGCCAAACATACTCAAATGCCGCTGTTCTACCGTACCTGTTTCATCAGTTAGGTTCGGCACGTGAGAAGCGCGGCGCTTAAACCGGACCTCAGTTTCAAGAAGGTCACACAAAGCCACAGGTTGATCTGTAACGTAATTATTTCCGCCTTAAAGGGTGGCCTACTAATACCTTAAAGAAAGTCCTTGTTGACAGTTTTCATATAGAAATGCTTGGCTATTGTGGTGAGCCTATCTGGTATTTCTTGAATTTTAGTAGAGTACCTAAATAATTGACGTCTCCAGCACAATAATTAAAAGATGAAAAAAAAATCGTGCACTTTCCTAGAAGATAAAAGTACGGGCTATATTATAGAGCAATAGTAAACGGGCTATTGCATTTAAAAACGGTGCCCCCGGTTGAGGACTAGTGGAATTCTTCAGCGGTAAGTTTTAAAATTTAGGATTTCTTTAGGGATAGAGTTAAAAAAATATGGAATTCTTGGGGGGTGAAATTCTTCGCGGGTAGACCCACATTCTTTAGGGGTGAATGCAATATTAATTAATCTTCAAGGGTAAGGAGAAAAGGTAAGACTTCAACCAGGGGGTACAGATATTAAATGCAATAGCCCATTACATTAATCTCTGCAAATATTTTAAACGTTCTCTATTTGATTTCTCTCAGTCGTTTCAGGAGGCAACGTCAGATTTTGAGAGCATCCCAGGAACGTTCTGGTGGGCCGTCATCACCATGACGACAGTAGGATATGGGGATGTTTATCCCAGGTCTTTTCTCGGAAAGATTATAGGCACAGTCTGCGCATGTGTAGGTGTGCTAATCGTTGCACTTCCCGTGTCGGTGATTGGAAGCAACTTCACTTTGTTTTATTCTCACGCGCAGGCGCAACTGAAACTTCCTAAAAAGAAGCGCACGCCGCTTCTGCTGGGCGCTGCTGGTGCTCTGGTGTCAGAATCCACCTTGTTTAATAACGATGATAAGTCGAACAGCTCCGAAGAAGTGGGAAGCAGCCCGAGTCCCCGCAGAGGTTCTCTTGCTTTACCTCGGAAGAGCCTTCGGAATCCTTCGATAACTCCTCGCAGTCGCATGGTATACAGGGAAGCCACCTTGCCCTCCACTTTACCTAAACTGGAATCTGACACTTCTCTCGAAGTAGAAGCCACCTCGACTGCTAAGAAGAGCAACGAAGAACTGTTTTCATCACCTCCTACAGGAAGCGCAGTAGATATATCCAGCGGTCTTCGTGGGGCGAGTGACGTCATGCTTCATATAACTGCTCCTTCTCATCGTCGGATGGCAATTTCTCCTGCACCTACTCCTCCCTCAAGACGAGCAAGTCAGCGGAGGAGACGAAGAGGGGGAAGCAAACGGCTGGCAAAAAGCTTAAATGATGATCTTTCGTCGCACGAGAATGAGAGGGACAGTTACTATACGACTACTGACGGGGAATTGAGCCAAGGAGAAACTGGTACCCATGGGAATTCCCCCGGTGAAACATCACCACCAGAGAAAGAGAATGGAACGCGCAGATCGTCTGACGAGTCAAACACATCAGGACATAAAAATGGTACAGAACTAAGATTTGTTTGTTCAGATGAGAAAAGAGAAATAGGAGCTTCAAGTTCTGGGGATAAAACAAGAGACGCGGGCGCGTGCCCACTCGACAAAACAGAGGAGAAAATACCGTCACGTGGTGGCTCGAACTCAAATGTGAGCTTAAAAGGAGTGACATTTGATGCTGTGAAACACAACGAACACACAAATCAAAAGGATCTGAACGAGGCTCCAATTCAATGCGCACCAATGTGGAAATCATTTGAAAACTTGAGCGATGATGGTAATAAACTAGGTGTCGAACCTCGACTGAGGTCAAGAAGCGAACTTGCTGCTACTGAAACTCCACCATGCAAGAGGAGAAATGCGATTGGTGGGAACCGCAATATTACAGCAATGACAATTTCGCCACTTGTGCGGTCAGATGAAAGACTCTACAGAGCCATATCGAATGGACCGTTTAGAGATCTTAAATCAAGAAACATAAAGGGTACCTCAAGTGCGAGGAATTCGCATCATGATGCTGCAGACAAAAACTCGCAAGAGTTGAAGAATATCCACCCCAGATTAATATCAGCGTCTCCAAAGGGCAACAGCTCGTTGGAGACTGAAGAAAAAGAGCTGATATGCGAAGTGGTTAGAGCACCCAAGAAAGATGTCATACAAAATATGACTCGGGTTTAAGGTAGCTGAACACAGTTTTGCGGGCGGTCAGCGGTAACTCGTGTGACGGCGTGTTTTAAATCAGACAAACAAACATGGAAGCGAAAAAGCAATGGTATACAGAAGACGATTTTTCAAAATCTACTCATTAAAATTTTGTGATATTTGGCAGAATTTTTACTTTTATCGTATTTTAAATAATGAGAACTTTAAAATGGAAGTTGGGCAGGCTAAATTTGTTACACATTTAATAATTACAGTACAATTATATTATTATCTAAAAACCCGTCTGTTAAAATTTGGCTAAATAAGTTTCAAATGGTAACGATTAATTATAGTAAGCTGTGTTTATAGCAAAATCTAATGAGCGAATTTCCTGTAAACTGAGCAAAAGTGAAATTTAAAGTTATATTCAATCGTTCATTTTGCCAAGGAAACTACGAAAACGTCAAATTTTACCTGTCCATCAAAATCTTTCACAAGTATATTTTTCACTCGCGAAGTTTCAGCTTGTGAGCTGCAACCTTTCTCTTGCCATGATTTGGCAAATGACATACACTCACAAACTGCCAAAATTAAACTGTGTTCAGCCACCTTAACCCGGCCTGTGTCGCTACCAAAACCAGTTATGGACACATGGAATGTTTTGTTTGCAGTAGTTCGAGAATTTACAAACGTTTTTTTGACCACTTGAATGTTATGTCTGAAGGATTAAAAATGGTTGGAAATACTGTACACCCTGAAAGAAGAAGGTGGTCAGAAAAGATGAAACCTATAAGGTTAAGGTTTAATGATACAAGGAGTGGAAGTTGAAAACAGACGTAGTTCTCCCTGTAAAATGGAACTAAGAGGGTCAATTGAAAGCCATCTGCCATAGGATGCATCTGCTCGTGCGAGAGCTGAGGCAAAGTAGAAGTTCGATAAAACGTTTTTGGAGGGAAAGTGAAGGAGTCACAGTTATTGACGCTGCCCAAAGGGATAAGGGTGGAATTTAAGGGTGGAGAATACATCAGACATTTTTATTTAGGTTTAGGATGAGAAGAATAGGATATATAGGAGTGGTCAGTGCGTCGGGCTCGTAAGAGGTTGTTCCCGGGTTTGAGTCCCTCTCCTTCAAGTTCTCGTTCGTCCTGCGTTCAATTCCTAGTTCATGTTTGTAAAAAGCCAATCGGTTGCCTCCAGCTAGATGGGGCGTTTAATCCTGTCACAGGATTAAAAGTTACCGGTTCTACTTGCAGTTTTATGTGAAGTGCCTGTAAACTAGCTGGAAAGCAAATTGCTCTTCACTGTAAACAAACATTTACCTTCCACCTTAACATGGAATGGTGAAAGTGAATGAGGTCATTATATGATGTAACTTAACTAGGTGGCCAAGAGTCTCTGGTCAATATAAGTCTTCCGCATTCTTGTGGTGACGCCCAGTATGTATCAGCAAACTCGTTCCCAGAATCCCTCCTGTTCCGTACGATGACGAGTGACGGGCCCTTGTACTAGACTGGAGCATCCAAAAGCTGAAAGATTTTTTTTTTGCCTGTTAGCTCAAAATATAATGATGTGGCCATGGAGTATTGTTCTGTGTTTGATTTACAGTTATTATGAAAGTTTCGTAAATCTGAAGAAATATTATTTCGGGCTACTTGATGAACTTTCAAGCAAACTTGATTAAAATTTAAGGAATTCTTTTGAAACAATCCGAAAAAAAATTGAAGAGACCTTTTTGCTACCCCGATTTGGGAGGAATTGGACATTATTAAAATTTATTTATTTCTCTACATATTTTTTTTAAGGTAATTGGGACATAATTATTTACGTCAGAAGAGATCGTTTTAGGATTTGCTGCATTTCATAAGTTATATGCAAGTTAACTTAAAAGATAACAAAAAACCGTGGGCTGTATGGCATAAAAGTGTATATTCTGTAGGTATATTGTACATAGCTGAGGTTTTTTAATAGCCTTAAATAAATACGTTGAGCTTTTTGTAGATTCAAAATTTGACTCAACAACCGAGTTTAAATTTGTGGCAAGAAAACTCCACAGGCGTTGAATCGCCAGTTTTGGACGTTTTCGTAAACGATATTGATTGATATTGATTTTCATGATATTTAAACACTTTCGTACAAAAATATTTTGGGTGTGAAGTGTTCTGGTAAAACCATGCAAACACATCTAATGTAACAATGTAGAAAAAATAAATTTGATTTTTTTTCATTATGGTTTGACCACCGTGTTCTTAGAATGCCATAAAGATTTGAACCTTCATAGTAAATACAATAGTGGAGGGGCAGATTGGGGAGCAAATTGGGCTGTTCCATGCGACCAGGATAATGAAGAGTGTAGGGAAGTGGAGAGCGGAGAGAAAAAAGAGGAAGAAAGGAAGAGAAGAGTTTCAGTTTTCCTGGTCACTTTTTTTTCGGTCCGTCCCCACTATCTAAACGCCTGAAAAGGGCAAGGAGCAAATAACGAGCAAGTTAAAGGTGCTAGGCTGAATTCACATAAGCATCAACATAATAATAATAATAATAATAGTAATAATAATTATAATAATAATAATATTTAATAACATATTTAACCAGGGTAAACCCGTCAGCTGAAGCTGTCATGAATGCCCTGGGCAACTAAAAAATCATTAAAGGAAAAATAACTATAACAGATCAACTATCAGAAAAATGTAAAAACTATGTACAATGTCGATGGATAAAAACTAAGAGTTATATAACTACGTAAATTAAGACTCTAAAAGAAACTCCAACATATTTACAAGAACATAATATCATTAAGAAGTGTTTTAAAAATCATTATGGAGTCAACTTCCTTCAGATACGGTGGCATCAATAAATTTGGAACAAAACAAAGTGGCAACGATGCTTCTCTGGAATTGATTTGAAAGTTGCAATTTTATCTCTGAGAAACCGGAAGTACCTATCATGAGCGTCAGGAAGTGTCCGCTTGCGATAAACTTAAGTTTAAAGTGACATACGCGGGGTGGGAGGGTGAGAAGAGAGCCATAAAATGTCAGGCATGCGCAGATCTATAAGCCGACTTGACAAATGGCCGAGCGGAAAGTCGGGTTCAGTTCTTTCCGCGCGCTTGTGCGTTGTCTCAGCCAAATCTGCATGCCTTCATCACCTTCAGTCTCAAAAGTTAGAACCATCTTTTACATCAAGAATTAAACAATAGAGCCACACTACTTGATCGATAATCTGAAGTTGCGAATAAAAAAGGCTTCTTAATTATGAAAATCATCGACAGAGACCTACGTGCCATTATAAATAATTAAAGATTCACGCATAAGTTTAATTCTTCATTTTTTTGGCTTGAACTCTGTATTTTTGCCTTGAATCTTCGATAAGAAAAAGAAGTGTCAACTAATTTAACGCTGGTCGGAGTTCATTCTTGATATCAGATTGTCTTTACGTTCAAAAGCAATCTTGGCAAAAAAAAAAGTGGCGATAGGTAAATTTAAATTTTCGTCTTATTTTGCAGGTGAAGACAATTGCACATTTAATTTTCGGTTGTTCCTAAATGAAAACCATGATAATTTATTCCATTTTCGTCTCAATTAAAAAGCAAGACACTTGTCAGTCTGTTGCTAGGGAACAACGCGGCAGGTGCAACTGAAGAAAACCCGGATGAGAATAAAAATACATTTACAATCCTTTGACGAGAAAAGTCGGAGTTTTTCTGATAGATTTTCGCTTCAAATCAGTAATTTCAGGCCGAGTCATGGTGTTAGTTATATCTTGAAAGAAGAACGGGAAATATCATGTCACCGCTAGAAAGAAGGGACACAAATCGTCGGGAAACAATCGGTACAAAAAAAGATCTCCGAGATCGAGTAATCATTAATGTCGGCGGTAAACTGTTCGAGCCCTACATAAGTACTCTAAAAAACATTCCTGATATTCCACTCGCGAGGATCCTCGATAACCGCACAAAGCTCGATTATGACCCTGAAACGGGAGAATATTTTTTTGATCGACATCCTGGCGTTTTTGCCCAAGTATTGAACTATTTACAGACAGGCAAGCTTCACTGTCCTCGCAATATTTGCGGTCCGCTGTTTGAGCAAGAACTTGCGTATTGGGGCTTAGACGAGCAACAAATGGAGTCGTGCTGCTGGCCAAATTACACAAAGCACAGAGACGCCCAGGAAAATCTACAGGCTTTGGATTTCAGGCCAAAATATGAAAACGATATGGATGAGCCTCGGCGACCGTTTTTCAATGATCCGAGTTTGTCGTGGTGGCAAAGAAATCAACCTATTGTTTGGGAGATCTTAGACGATCCGTACTCATCTTCGACGGCAAAGGTAGATTTTCGTTCGTTTTCTTATTTGTCTACTTTGTATCGCTGTTTCTTATTACCTACTGTTACGATTACCCACAATCTGTTTAGGAATCGAGCAAAAATGAACAACTGTATTAAAAAGATATAAATTTTTAAGGTAAGCAGTATGAAAGCTTAAAATTACTGAGACCTTTCTGTCAGTTACGAACTATCAAATTATAGAGAATGTGAGTATATTGTGAGCGTACTAAAGCCTTTTTTAACAAATTAAAAACACCTTTATATCTATATTTTTTAGGTATTCGCTTGGGTCTCGCTCGCTTTTATTGTAACCTCAATATTCACCATTTGCCTATGGACAGTTGAATACTTCAAGGGATTTAAAGAAGTTGCTGATCCTTTGAATATCACCAAGCATCCGGCGACAAACGAGACACAAGAAAATAACAGTAAGTGCTTAAAAAAATATGGGTATTTAAACCGTGCACCCGTGAAGAACAAGGAAGATGAAATAGTGATTAATGCTAGTGCAAAACACAATTTAAAAACTGAAAGCTTTGTGATTGGCCAAAACAAATATGTTTTCAGAAACAAGGAATTCTGAAGCTTTGAAACAGGTCCGTAAAATAATTGCCTTAGGGTCTCTTGTTCTTATCCTGAACTTTGTCCGTGCAACGATTTCGCGCATAAATATCACGTCCCAATTATCTCCACTGCTGGATTTCTGAGGAGACATGTAATTTGTACAAATGCTGATGGGTTAACTTGTGTCTACCTCAGTTTTTATAGGTCAGAGGATTAATTTTTGTTTGGGGTTTTACTTTGAGTATGCTTGATATTTTTCAGTAATCAGATGTTGTTATTAGAGACCTTAATTTAGATTCGAGGACGGGAACGGCTACGAGTACGAGATTTGATTTATAGTTTTTTCGCGTATTGTCAAAAAATAGACATCCCGGAATTCTTCATTGTACTTTTATTCACCAGAAAAATTAGCACTGTTATCGTTATTGAAGGAGGTTAAGACCTCTCCAGATTGCAAAATGCTAAAACTTCTAACATTTGATAACTTGTTCCCGCCACTACGACAATCTCGTTAAAACTCGTAGTAGAATGACATGCGCTACCACTTTTTCCCGCCAAAATGACGCTGCCTCACGCGCGGGCACCAATTAGTCAGTGAGAAAATCTAGTACTCGTAGTCGTTCTCGTCTTAGAATCTTACCCTCTCCATTCTGCTTTCAGCAACGAGAACAGGAACCATGAAAGTTGAATTCTCAACCCCGATGGAAGTGTTAACAATTATAGACTCAGTGTGCACAGGGTGGTTCACCTTGGAATTCCTGTTACGCCTTGTATTTTGCCCGAGCAAGATTCAATTTATAAAGAAGTTACAAAACTGGATTGACCTGTTGGTAATTATACCACTGTACCTTCTTCTGGTTTTCGAACGCACAACGCTAATTGAAGTCTTGAACACGACGCGAGTAGTCCGAATATTTCGCTTTTTTAAACTTCTCTACGACCTGCAGATTCTTGGGAAGACAGTCAAGGCCAGTCGTTATCAACTTTTTCTGCTGTTGTTAATTCTGCTCATTCCCGTCATCATTTTCTCTAGTCTCGCTCTATACGCCGAGTTAAACTGGGGCACCGATAAATCACAATCTCAGTTCCACAGCCTGCCAAACTCGATGTGGTGGGGGATAATCACCATGACAACCGTAGGCTACGGCGACATAGTCCCAGCATCCCTCGCGGGCAAGATTATTGGTGGTATCGCTTCCATTTGCGGCATAATCATTCTTTCTACTTCCGCTTCAGTGATTGGCAGCACTTTTTCACTGTATTACAATCTGGCCCAAGCCCAGTTAAAGATCCCTAGAAAAAGGCAAAGTTTTGAGGTAGATTACCAGACTTTGCCTGCGGTATTAGCATGCCGAACCAGTCAAACGGACTCGACAGTCATTTCCAACAACTCGGACAGTGGTTATCAGCGGTCTCCGAATCGCCTTCAAATCTGTGACAGAAGTAGTTTCGTGTTTGATTCGAACGCTTCCCCATCCTCCAAATCACCTTGTTCCTGTCAGCTATCCCAAGATCCTCCAATACCTTTAAAGCAGGTTTCTCCGCGTCCACATGTACCTCTTTCCAGAAAAGCAAGTATAAGGCGCGACAGCATTCTCGTGTGAAGAGAAATACCCGGGGGAACTCCCAAAGGAAAGTAATGGGGAGGATCTTCGTCTTCTCGCGTAGGGATAGTAATTGTAGATTTTGTTATCGCGTTATTCCCACGTCACATGACGTAGTTGCGTCTTGCGCCGGTAAACTTGCCGCCCCCGGTCGAGCAGGTTTGATAGAAATTCATGTTCAGTGTAATTAATATCAGTTGTAGCGATAGGTGAACGCCAAGATAGTAGTCAGAAGCCAAGTGATTTCAAAAAAATTCAATTAAGTAGCTTTCACACATGTTTCGGTAGAGACTTTTGCCTTTTTCAACAGTATTTGAGTGAATTAAACAAAATGGAAAACTTATATACTGCAAGAATTATTAGGCCGTCGGCATTTTCACATCTCACTGATAATGAGTTTTTGTTTGCATTTTGAGCACCCCCCTTTTTTTCGCACTTCCCCCAATACCCACATTTCGAAAAATTGCAGCAACATATGGCACATTTTCTGAGCACTTTTTAGCCATTTTTTCTCCAGGGTTTTACAATCGCCTCAAAAGAAAAAAAAAACAATGCTTGTGCTTAGTTTTTCATTTTTTTTACAATCGCCTCAAAGAGAAATTGGGGCAAAAGCGGGGGTGTATTTTGGGAGATATGCAAATGGATAAATGGACAAAAGGCAAAATATGGATATTAAGGTGATAATTAAAGGTGATTATCTTAAATTGAAGTAATGGAGTGGTCTTCTTCGAATGAAAGGCGGGGCTCTACCGTGAGTTCTCACAAAACACTTGTTATAACGACGAGAATCAAAAGCTTTAAGATTGTTACCCTTAAATGCTTGATGACGCAGTATTCATGCTTCATAGCCTTAATAATTTGATATCTGAAAAAGAAGTACCCTAAAACACAACATTATGCTCGAATGTTCTTTACTATTTATTAAAAATCGTTACTACAAGAGTGAATTTTAAACTTAGATATAAATTATTAAGCTTCCAGGGTTAAAAACATGCAAACTCAATGAAAAAGGGATAATAGAAATATGTGCAGGCAAACTGGGTAGTTTCGGTTGTTAAGGCTTGTCAAACAAAACAAAGAAACGTAACCTATAAAAACTTCCCAGGATAGTTTCGGTTCTTAAGGCTTGTCATGAACGTAAACTAAAAACGTAAGTTACAAAAATTTCCCAAACATTGGGAATACGGTCTTGCGTTGTAACTAGAATTATAAAGAAATTCAGTTTCCAAAGCAGTATCAAAATCAAAAGAATTAGAAGTGAGCTGATAAGAGCCATTCATTAAGGGTGGATTTCCAGTGTCGCGTAATTTTTACGTGCGTACGCACGTAAACTTTACGCGCGTAACTAAAATAGAGACAATGTATGGAAGGTCACGTGTAAACGTAAAAGTTGAACCTCGCGCGCTCAACTTAACGTTTACGCGGGGCCTTTCATAAATCGTCTCTATTTCATTTATGCGCGTAAATTTTTCGTGCGTACGCGCGTACAAATTACGCGACATTGGAAATCAACCCTTAGAGTGTGATGCAGTAGCAACTCTCGGAAGGTCTCACTTGATTGGCCTACTACGTTTGTAAAGAGCAATAGAGAAAAAAACACCGGAACAATACCGCTAGTCCACAAACTAAAAATGAGCTGCTACATTACTTTTCCTCCCCAAAAACACATCTATTCGTTTGTTGGGAGTACCAAAACCAAAACAATTGGACTGTACAATGACAAAATCAGCTAATAGGTCTCGGCTCTCTAATTACTATTAGGGAGCCGTAATGACCAAATTTACATACATTTCTACCATAAAAATTGAAGCAAACGACTATGCGCGCATTAAAATCTAATACTATCAATTAACTCATTTCATACCAAGTGGTATTTGTTGCATCTTCCTAAAATGTTACACTATACATTTGTATGTATATGTTCTCTTGTAGCTCTTGTTTTTGCCTAGAGATCATGCACAAAAAAATTATCTTTGCTTTCTTCAGTTCTCAAATAAGAGACCATTAACTTCTTGAATCAAAAGAGGGAGTTTACGCGATCAGGACGACGACAGCGGCGAACAAAAACTTCACTAATAGATCGCTTTCGCGGCAATGACTTCCCTTGCTTAATTATTAAATGTAAGCTGATTCTCCTAGAGTTGAATTTGAACATCTTTTTAACCCTTTCACTGCCGAAGTACTTGATGAAGTTTTGTAAGGTGACTCTAACTTTGAGTCTGCGGACGAAATCCTATGATGTGACCATTCAAATGAAACCTCTCTGCCTGTACTTACGCATGTTGCTATTTATTTTTCAAAATTTCACAAAATGAAATTGGGAAATTTGGTTGAAATTTGGTTTTGGCTAAATTTGGCAGTGAAAGGATTACGAAAAAAGATAGTCTCGTTCGTACAACGTAAGTTTACGTTCGTTATAAAATCAGGAAGATTGACGTCGTGGTTGCGCATTGACGGAAAAGAGATTTGGTAAAAGTGTCATGCACTTGTCTATGTTGTTTTTCTTATCACTGTGGAACCTCCACATAACGACTGGCAAAAATTGTTCGCTATCGAGGTCCTTTTCCATATGTGTTACTTTTACTGGGGGTAAAGAAAATCGTGGAGGACTTCGTTATATACAGAGGTTCGACTGTAAAACGATTGTGGTCTGGATTTTGCCGCTCCTGCCGTCGTAGCATAATCTCCCTAATCATAGCTTAGGAATTGTGATGCGGAAACAAGTTAACTGATTAAAGGACGACTGAATAACTGGCCAAGAAGGCAAAAAGAGCTTGCCAGAACCCAGAAATTCCTTTACGTTTGCTAATAGCGAAGCATTTTTACATTGAATAAATACAACATAAAAGTTCTCTAAAACCTGCCGATAAATACGGAGCTTCACTTCCACAGTTAAAAGGAAAATACGCAGTTCATGAAATATTATACTTCAAACTTTGGCATCATACGCAGCTGGGTTATAATGGACCTCTCTCTTGCTGAAATCGTCAAGGGGCATAGGTGGCGCGCCATATCCGTTAACTGATAGAACACCTTTGCCATCCCCCACGTACTCAAGATTTTCCCCTTGGTAACCTGGCTTGCCCAGATCGTACTGGTGATCCATGTGGTGTTCCATCTGGAAGGCTGCAAACGGATACAAGAGCATCACTGCGAAGAAATCTTCAGCGGCGTTGCCATGGATGCTGTACTTCTCTCGCATGGTATATCGGATAGCTGTTCCGTAGGCGAAGAAGGCAAAGAGTATTGTCCAGCCAACGTAGGAGATCGCTTTCACAACAGGCTCCAATGCCATCAGGATGATCCAGGTGTAGAATGGAACGGCCAAGACCAGCCAGTACACCCAACGACTTGTCTGCTTGCCACCAATCTTGTAGGCAGCATTTCCCATTGAGTACCATGGTGCAAAGACGGCCACTAGGACTTTTTTCAAGCTTTCTCCTGTTGGCTTGCTTAAGACATCTAAGAGGCCGGTGGTGAACTGTGGACCATGTGGATCAAGATCCCCGTCTTCCATCTTCAAGGCTCGCCATAACGCCACACACATGATACACAGTAATATGGTATAGGGCACTCCAGCTGCAATCGACATGGTCTGCAGTGCTACAAGACCCTTCGTTCCGCCAGCATTTAGCAGAGCTGTTGCAGTTGCGCCTTCTGTCAGGGCCCAAAAGATACGCTGCAGAACAGGAGGCTCATGGTCGCCGTTGGCTGAAAGACAGTCGATGACCAGGGAACCACTATCAGAACTGGTGACGAAATAAAGTATTATGCCAATCAGCGAGAGTACTGACAGGAAGGTCCCAAGGTCGCCATATTGTTCCATGACGTCAAACCACATTTCTTCCTTTGTTCGGCAGGACAAACGGTAAAGCCCGTTAAATGACTCGGTAGAAGTTTTACCACCCAGTTTGGAATCGCAAGTGATGTTAGCAAGGGCAGCATCACGCTCCATTTTCAAGCCTGCACTTCCAAAAATGCAAAACCATAAAAAGCTGTACAACATGGGTGCAGTCATCGTGCCATTAATGAACTGTCGAATGGTTCTTCCTTTGGAGATCTTAGCAATGAACATGCCCACGAACGGACACCAGGCAATCCACCAACCCCAGTAGAAGATGGTCCAGTCAGCCATCCAGCCTTTGGCTTCTTTACCGTCTGGGGCATTTCCAAGCTGTGCGAAGGCATCTGTGTGCCAACCGAGTTGTATAAGCCACTGGAAGTAGTACCCGATGCTCTGCACATACACGTTCAATATATGCCAGGTGTCATCAGCAAAAATACCGACCATCATGATGAACATGCCCAGGGCGAAACAGATCTCACTAAGACGTCGTATTCCAAGCTTAAGCCCACTCACCACTGAAGCCGTGGCACAAGCTGTCACTGCCCAAATGATAATAATCTGGTTAGTTGTCGAGAGCTCAATTGATGAATTCAGGCGTTTAAAGCCAGTATTCAGCTGCATGGCACCAAGACCAAGACTGGTGCAGACGCCGAACATGGTACAAACCACAGACATAACGTCTGTGGCATCACCTATCCATCCATAGATCTTGTCACCGATGAGGGGGTAGAAACAGGAACGTAAGGTCATGGGTAGGCCTTTTCTGTAACCCACAAAAGCCAAGAGGAGTCCGACTACAACATACACAATCCATCCGTGGAGTCCCCAATGAAATAAGGTCAGGTTAATGGCGTCCTGGGCTCGCAAATTATCATTGTATCTAAAATGAAACAAAAAAATAATTAATCACTCTGAGCATGATACGATCGCGACAGAAAGAAAAGTAAAACAAATCACAGTAAAACGCCGCGAAGAAGAACCTACATTTTTTGAAGTTTGGCAAAATAGATTCTTATAGTTTGAAGTACTTATTGGAAGTTTAGGCTAAATAGGTTCTTAATTAGGTTCTTAATTTTCATGAAGAAGGATACTGTTGTTGATTACAAGAAATTACTATAAATGGTATTTGTCCTTCATAATAGGCATTTATTTA